TCCACTCACCTTGGCCTCCCAAAGTGCTGGGATTACAGGCTGAGCCACCGAGCCCGGCCACACACAGGAACTTTCTAGACCTGCGTTATTCGTGGTGATGCGTGGGCTGCCGCAGCGTCATCTTAGAATGATTCTTGTTGGAGATGGGAGAGCAATGCCTCCTTGCAATTTAAGATGTATTCTTGCCGGGCACAGTGGCTCATGCCTGTAATCCCAGCACTTTGGGAGGCAGAAGTGAAAGGATTGTCTGAGCCCACGGGTTCGAAAACAGACTGGGCAACATGACGAGACCTCATCTCTACAATAAATCAAATAACTAGCTGAGTGTGGGGGTGTGCGTCTGTAGTTCTGGCTACTTGGAGGGCTGAGGCGGAAGGATTGCCAGAATCCAGCAGGTGGAGGCAGTGGTGGCCATGAGCTGCCACTGTGCTCCAGCCTGGGTGACAGGGTGAGACTCTGACTCAAAAATATGAATAAGTAAATGTATTAGCCGGGCTCGGTGGCTCAGCCTGTAATCCTGTGCCTTGGGAGGCTGAGGTGAGTGAATTGCCTGAGCCCGTGGGTTCGAGACCTGTCCGGGGAACTTGGCAAGACCTCATCTCTACAATTAATTAAAAAAATTAGCTGGGTGTGGTAGTGCGTGCCTGTAGTTCCAGCTACTTAGGAGGCTGAGGCAAAAGGATCGCTGGAGCCCAGCAGGTCGAGGCTGCGGTGGCTGGGAGTGGCCGCTGCACTCCAGCCTGGGCGACAGAGTGAGATTCCAACTCAAAAATAAAATTAAAAAAAAAAAAAATTAAATGTATTCTCCCAACTTGTAAAATAGTGACAGGGACAGAAAGAAGATCACCCATCAGATACAGCCCAGACTTCTTTGCCACTGTACAGTGCAACCATGTATCCAGAAACAATTTGTACCACCTAAAGCTGTTGACATTAAAAAAAAAGTAACAAAGTGAGATTCGTTCCACATTTGACCAAGAGCTCAAGCTGCAACTCTGCATGTGAACGACCAGTTTGCACCGAAAGGATCACCGTGACACTAGTTTGCATCAGTGTCCTCCAGACTGAAGTAGGCAGAGGATGCTAGGTCATACCAAGATCTGTCAGCCACAGTGCAGAGCTCTCCACAGAAGAAATGATAAAAGGAATTAAAGGCTGGGTGTGGTGGCTCACGCTTGTAATCCCAACATTTTGGGAGGCCAAGGTCGGAGGATCACTTGAAACTTGGAGTTCAAGACCAGCCCGGGCAACATCGCGAGACCTTGTTTCTACAAAAAATCAAAAAATAAGCTGGGCATGGTGGCTCATGCCGGTAGCCCCAGCTACTTAGGAGGCTGAGGCAGGAAAATCACTTGAGCCCAGGAAGTCAAGGCTGTGGTAAACTGATTGCACCACTGTACCTCAGCCTGGGTAACAGAGCAAGATCCTGTCTCAAAAAAATAACCAGGTGCGGTGGCTCAAGCCTGTAATCCCAGTGCTTTGGAAGGCCGAGGTGAGATGATTGTCTGAGCCCGTGGAATTGAGACCAGCCTGGGCAACTTGGTGAAACCTCGTCTGTACAATAAATCAAAAAACTAGCCAGGCGTGGTAGTGCACACCTGTAGTTCCAGCTACTTGGAAGGCGGCAGGAGTGCCTGAGCCCAGCTGGTCAAGACTGCAGTGGCCGTGAGCATGCCACTGCACTCCAGCCTGGGCGATACAGTGAGACTCCAACTCAAAAAATAAAATAATACAGGAATGTAGAAAGCGATCACTATGTGTTCCAAAGTAGCAGACTCATCTGCAGTATGAAATCCCATCAACTTGGGAGGCTGAGGTAGGAGGATCAATTGAGCCCAGGAGTTCAAGGTTACAGTGAGCTATGATCTCACCACTGTACCCCAGTCTAAGCAATAGCAAGGCCCCCATCTCTTAAAAAAAAAAAATTCACCTAATCTGCAGTTTGCTAGGACTGAAAAACAAGTTTGTCCTGGAGGTCAGCCGACAGCCTGACATTGTTTTTTCCCATCTTCCTCCCGACCAGGTTCCCGCTGTTCACGGCGGTGTATCAGATTTGCTATGAGGGCAGACCCGTGCAGGAGATGCTGTCCTGCCTGCAGCGCCATCCAGAGCACATATAGAGTGGCCCTTGCAGCGTGCCGGGGACCTTCTGCCTTGCTCGTGGGTCCTTTGGGTACACGTGGAAGCCGGGACGTGGCCACATGTGTGCATGACGGTGATCTCATCATGAATGTGTATGGATTTTTACAGCTTCGTTTCTGGATCGTGAGAGGCAGTTCATTGGCTAAGAGGTACTGGGCAACACTGCAACACACATTGTGTGTGTTTATTTCTCATTCTGTGGACGTTTCTATGAACCCAAGTTAAATGTCCTTTTGAAAAACGGCTTTTCAAATTCCCCCGCTGTGGTAGTTTATATGATTGGAACCACCTCAGCTAAATTTTTTGGGTGGAATTCATATGTATTTGAGTGGAGGAGGGTTTTTTTTTTATTCTTTTAATGTTAAAATTTAACCAGCATTAACATGGTAGTTAGTGTGGAGGGGGGTGCGTTCAAAGATCAATGTATTTAAATTTTAAACACTATCTCAAAGCCAGCGTAATTAACTACTTCGATGGTGGGTTGATCTTTTTTTAACAATCAGATATTTTTAATTCGATAATCCACTTATATACTTTCCTCTCGCTGCAGCTCTCTGCATTTTTAGCCTCTTTTTCTCTTGGCTAGCCGTTGGAATGTGCTTTTGTAAAGACTCAGCGGTGGCAGAAGACAGGACATTCATCTGGGGTTTTCCTGCTGTGACTGGCCCAGTCTTCTGATTCACAACAGACACCTGTAGGACGATCAGGGTTAGTTAGTGCTTTTTCACAGCCATCTCTCCTCAGCCTCACAGATCCACTGAGGAGGGGCTGCTGATATCCCTCGTGTTAGACGCAGGTGGCAGTGGTGGGTACGGGGACAGGGCCAAGGCCAAGTGCAGCGCCAACATGCAGGGTCTTCTGAGAAGCCACTGGACTGATTTGACCTTCAGCTAACTGGTGCAGCAAACACCATGTGCAGCCTTTCCTGAGGGCACGGGAGGACTTCCTGGTGCTGAGGTGTGTGTAGGCTGCTGGCTCATGATGGGCCTCTTAGACATGCAGGTTCCCGGGTCCCACCCCAGACCTCTGAAGTAGTGTGACATCTGGGCCTCAGCTTGTCTTCACTACAATGTGAGAACCACTACTTTAGAAAACATCCTTTAGCTTGGCATCCCTCAAGCTGTGTTCCCTAGGAAACAACGTCCTGGGATTCAGGGTTCCAGGTGTTCCTGGAAAGGTCATGTGAGTTTGGGGAAAGCTGTGTCTGCACACCTCTAGAAGGTTTTGGACATGTGTCCACATGCCAGCAGAACGTGCTTCCTTCACCCCACAAGTCGCAGACACGTGAGACCGTGGAGATGTTTTGGCAAGGAAACTTGCTGGAGTTTTCGGGGAACACAGTTCTATGCTTAGGTGATCTCAGGACCCTTCCCTCTCTGCAAGAAATTAGGAGGGATAAGTACCTGTGGTATCGTTGGTTCTGAACTTCTGCTGTTCAGGTCTGCCATGAGTCTTTGATGAAGCTTTAAGGTGACACTGTCACAGAACCAAGTAGATATCAGCCGCGCTGAAACGCACATTATGTGGAACAAGTGCTTTTAACTTTTAATTCTAGGAACAGAGTGAGAATCACTGTACCTTCTAAATGAGCTTGGTTTCAGGGTGGCATTGCACGGCCACCTTACATGGCACTTGATAAGTGTTCAAGGAATGTGTGAATGTAATTTATATGTTTATAATATAAATTTGCTTTATGAGATTTGGGCCTATCCCCCAGCCCTGGCTTAGGGTTTGTTTCCTTCTCTCCCTGAAACAGTTGTAGAATAGATTTTTGTGGGAATTTTTAAAACTCGATCCAAAACATCTTTGGAGCATTTTACAGCCCCATACTCGGAAGCATCTGTGAGCACACAAATATGGCCATGCCTCAGCAGTTTGAGTGCCACCATTCAGTTATTCAGTTCCCCTCATCTCCCGATAAATCTTTTTTAAAGTTTGTACATAAGTAACAAAGAGTTACTTTTAAGGATACATCAAGGGCTGTAAGATAATGGTGAAGTTGCACCGTGAGATGAGAGGAAGCAGGATTTTGTATAGTCTCATCGGCCTCCAGCCTCCCGCCCTGGGTTCCACACTCGAGACATTTATTCACAAATGCCCTCATCCCTGCCACTCTCAAGTCTGCCGACTGTACCTCTTAAGCGTACTTAAATTCTGCACATTATGGAAAAAGGTAAATTTTATAAGTTTCTGCTCTGCCAACTGTAGATATTTATTCCTCTGTGAGTTATCTATTTTTGTAACCACCTGTGGTCCACCATGTATTTTAATTTAATTTCTTACTAATCATGGTAACAAGGAGGGAGACACCTAGATTAGAAGCTGAATTTGTACTATTTCTGCCAATCTGCGAATGTAAAAAATGACACCATTGCCTTGCTGTAATCCACCCTACTCTAATATGGAACACATGCCTGTCTTGAAATCCACCCTGGGAGATGGCGTCGACCTAAACTTCTGGTTTTTCTTCGAACTTTTAACTGTAACGTGGCCCCTGGCATCGATGTAAGGCGGGTGGCGTGGTAAGATGCCAGTGTACAAAGGGAACCTTCGTGTGTCACTAGTTCCTGCCTGCTAGCCTTTTACTTCCATGAGTACTGTATTTGTTTACAGACTATAGTGGATATATCATTTTAAAAGCTTGGTCTAATAAACATTTAATCCCCAAACCTGTGCTGCAGTTCTTTTTATCTGCTTAGGAGATAGTTTTATTTAGGTCAGCTCTTTTGTCTGGGTTGTGTTGCATGACCCACATAAAAGGCAATTTTTTTTTTTTTTTTTTGAGTTGGAGTCTCACTCAGTCGCCCAGACTGAAGTGCAGTGGCCGCTCCGGCCACCGCAGCCTCAACCTGCTGGGCTCCGGCGATCCTTCCGCCTCAGCCTTCCGAGTAACCGCAATTACAGGCATGTGCTACCATGCCCGGCTGATTTTTTGATTTATTGTAGAAGATGAGGTCTCGCTGCCCAGGTGGGTCTCGAACCCGCAGGCTCAGGCAATCCACTCACCTCAGCCTCCCAAAGGTGCGGGATTACAGGCTGAGCCACCGAGCCCAGCTAAAAGGCAATTTAAAAAAATTTTTTTTTTAGTTTAAAGATGTGGGGTACAATTCAGGGATAGGTATACAAATGTTCATTATGCTGGTACCCTTGCTGATGAGCTGTGCCCCGAGCCCTGGGCAGTTTTCTGCTACTGCCCGTCCTGCCCCCTTTCCCCTGGCAGTTTCCCACTACTGCTAATTCCTTTAAAAGGCAATTTTTAAAAGAAAGTCTTCCTCTGCCTGGCTCAGTGGCTCATGCCTATCATCCCAGCACTTTGGGAGGCCAAGGTGAGAGGATTCCCTGAGCCCGCAGGTTCGAGACCAGCCTGTGCAACTTGGTGAGACGTCATCTCTACAATAAATCAAAAACTTAGCTGGGTGTGGTGGCACGTGCCTGCAGTTCCATCTACTTGGAAGGCTGAGGTAGGAGGATCACCTGAGCCCAGCAGGTCAAGGCCACGGTGGCCATGAGTGTGCCACTGCACTCACTCCAGCTGGGTAACAGAGTGAGACTCCTCAACTCCAAAAAAAAAAAAAAGAAAGGCTTTGTCTAATCACAGGTCTCAAACACATCTGTTTCCATTGCTCGTTGAGATTGTTACATAATTGCAATTGAGGAGAGAGACCTTCCATGGTTCCACACCTTGGAGGAATGAACTGGAAGGCCCCTCCTCCCCACTCCACACATCCCTAAGAAGCTATGGAACCATAACAAGTGTCCTTTATGTGCAGGGCTGGTCAAATTGGGGGCTGGTAGCCCGGGTAGTAAGGCTCTGGTTACGAAGCTTCTGCTACCACTGGAGCCCTCCAAAGCCTATGTTGTCAGTGGGGATAGATGGACTTAAAAAAACCCAGATAGAGGCACAAATGAGGAAGCTGGTCTCCAGGTAGAGGTGAATGTTTCTGCTCTTAATCTGTAATCACAGGTTAAGTACCCAAACAGCTTTTTTTTTTTTTGTTTACATAAACAAAAAAACTTTTATTTTTTTATATCCGGGGAAACGACAAGCAAAAAAAATCGCATAAGCATTGGAACTTGGGGCCAAGGCTCACACTGTAATCCCAGCACTTCAAAGTAGAAGGATTGCTTGGACCCAGGAGTTTGAGACCAGCCTGGGCAACGTAACAAGACTTCAGCTCTACCCAAAATTAAAAAATAAAATGAAAATTAGCCAGGCATGGTGGCATATACCTGTAGTCCTAGCTACTCAGGAGGCTGAGGGGGAAGGATCACCATGAGATCGAGGCTGTGGTGAGCCATGATCATTCCACTGCACTCCAGCCTGCGTGACAGAGTGAGACACTGACTCAAAAGCAAAATTGAAATTTGAGTCAGTAACACCAGCGGATAACTAGCAGAAGCAAACACAAAAACACTGCACAAGTCTATTTCCCATCCAGGGTACACAGGCCTCCCTTAAATAAAGCCCCACTGAGTTGCCAGTTAAAATTAAGCTTTACAAAATAATTCATTATGAGTAAAAGTCAACAGATTTTTTTTTTTTTTTGAGTTAGAGTCTCACTCTGTCGCCCAGACTGGAGTGCAGTGGC